TCAGCATGTATATAGACAGTGCAAGTTTACAGTGTACAAAATGCAGGTAGACTGTAGGTACAGGTATAGTATTAACATAATGTAGATAAACAGTACCTAGAAATTGCAGGTATACGATTTATATTGACAGCGCAGGTATATAAGATACAATGTACTGTATTTTGCTGATGCGAGTATGCAATTTACGTAGTCAGTGCATGAAAACAATGTACTGGGTACATATACGGTACGGGCATACCCAATTATACCAAGACTGAAAGTATACAGAAATATACATAGACAATACAGGTAAAGAGAAACTATACACAGACAACACAGGTACACAAACAGTGATAAAAAAATAAGTCAGTTCTACCAAGGATAACTACACGAGACAAAAGCCATCATACACTGTACTGTACTTGTTTCCAGCAGAGTAAGAGAACTTAAGAGAGAGCATGAACCAAAATGAATCCTTGAATAAACATACGTGTTATAAGCAGGTCTGAATGATGCATGGTTTAAATTTAACTGAGTATCGGTAAGCTGTCTTGAGAGAGAGAGAGGGGGGGGGTGAGGGGAGGGAGAGGGGGGAGAAGAAGGTTTATTTGAGGCGGAGGGAGTTGAGAGAAGTGAGTGGTGGTGGTAGTGGTCGCGTGATGTTGCTGCCCCTCTTGACTTCCTCAAGGTTGTTTCTTACATATTCCCCGTCTCCCCTCCTCCCCCCATCTCTTCCCTTAAATCATCCTTCATCCATTATTTCCCCAATCCCTTTCCTTCCTTCCCCTCCTCTCAGCCCTTCCTTCCCCTCCCTCCATCACCACCTCCTTTCCCAGCATTTTCAACCCCCATCCTGTCGTGTTTTTATTGTCCCTCCCATTCCCACATCCTCCTCCTCCTCACCTCATCCCCCCCACTCCTGCAACCTCCCTCCTCCCCCTCATCCCTCCACTCCTGTAACCTCCCCTCCCCTCATCCCCCACTTTACGTAACTGTTCTACCCCTTTCCCTCTTACTCTCCTCTATCCCCCTTCCTTTCCATCTCAGCATTTCAGTCCATCCCTTTCCCTCTTGCTCCTTTTCCCCTTCCCCCATTCCTTCCTCCCCCTCCCCTCTCTCATACCCCTTCCCTTTCCTCCCAAGCTGAGATAGAAACCACCACACACATAATAAGATCTAATTTCACTTGGACACACTCAGGAGTTTCGCCAGTTTAAGCACTAGGGATTCCCACACACAGCTGTCCTCTGTGTGTGTGTGAAGGGATGGAGGGTAGGTATAAGGCAATTACATTAGACCTTGTGGATAAATTATAGCTTTAGCGGACACTGAACTTCATTCCTCCCCTTTATGGACAATGTTAAAATAGACACCAGCTCTATAGATTATTGTTATCCAGGAATAAATGTGAATCCTTATGAAATTTAAAGTATCGTAGTATAAGAACAGTGATTCCGTATGTAAACATTGTCGGAGGGGGGTAAGGGGGGGGAGGCGTTTGTTTGGGATAACCAGTCAAATTTGGTTGTAATAACGATAAAATAAAAGACTCAAGCTGGATATAAGGTTTTTTTTTACAGTTCTGGCAACTAAGTTATATTAATTGTTTGTGTTATTTCACTGTTTTTATACATGATAATTATTTGAAATATGATTAGGAATATTATTTTTTTAAAGAACGTTATCCATCTATCGAATTGGATGAAGCTAAAAAAAATTAATTAGTTGTTTTCCTATTGATTAGCTGTCCAGTACAATAAAGTTCAATAATTAAGCTCAAGGGGTTCCCAAATATAGATACTTATGCATGTGGTGTATAAGACTATAGCGAATAATGGAAGTATCCTACAGAGTTCATTGTCCTCTCCCCCAGCGTGGTCACCTCTAGTTAGGGTGACCGACAGGTAGATCAGGTAATGGTCGGGTTTGTCCGTGAGCGGTGGTCAAGGTGGCGGGCGGGGCCAGTCGGTTCGAAGAAGGGTGAAGTACTGTACTGTAGTCGTTGATTGACTCTTGCTGGAGTTATGTGTGTGTAGTTTTCCTCGCGCCGTTGGGTTGTGTGGCAGCAAGTGAGGCTTTGCTGGTCTTTGAAATGAAGTCGGTGGACAGGTTGAACTTGGCGTTGTAAGAAAAGATCGATAAAGGCTAAAAAAAAAGGTGTGGTAGCTGCTTCCCTGTATATAGGTATTCATGAAAGGATACTGTGGGGTCTGGTAAGTCTACTGTGTGTATCTATGTGCGTTTATGTCTGTGTTTTATGAAGAAATATCCATTCAGTAAGAATTGGTGGAACGAACACACGATGAGGTAGTAGGCAGCTACCAAACAGGGAGGTACTACCGCCTGGGAAGATATTGGAAGCATAATGTATTGTTTAATGGTTGACCCTGCTGCCATATGGCATCACGAAAATTGTGACCAAGTCCCAGGTTGCTAATCTGACATTCTGCCTCATTTACACACAACATACATATATCGTTTCTTTTTCTTTGTCTTTTTTATTTATTTATGGCCTTTTATTATTAGTATTATTATATTTTTATTTAATATTTTGTATATTTATCAATTATTGTTATCATTATATTTTCGCTCCCTTGCCCTGTGCCCTGGTGGGCTAATCCCGTAAAAAAAAAGTGGCTCAATCAAAGAGATGCTGGAGAAGGCGGTAAAGAGGCCCACTCAACCAAGACCCCAAAAAAGTTCACGTTAAACTTATTCCTACGCTATAACTAATACTTTTAACGATGTATTATAAGTTATTAAAACACCAATCATCAACAACAACAAAATTAAGTTAAAATCATCTCTCCAAACGAACGAGAATGAAGAGCAACAGAACGAACTCCTTGACTGGAGCGAACTACGGGACGCGGGTGGTGGAGATGGTAGCAAGTTCCTCCCTGCTCCTCCCCCCCACCCCACCCCACTCAACTTCGTGACATTCGGATGGTCTCGAGTTAAAGTTGTAGTGGATACCTCCCCTACAAACGCTGTTTGTCGCTGAGTAGCCGATCCCGTGAATTCCCCAGTGTATGCCTCGTGGTCTAGGTCAACCAGCGCCGCCTTACATGACGGAGGTCAACTATTAAGCCACGCCTACCTCCGCTATATAAGACCTGACCTCGTGGTGCCCTCTCTCTTTTTATCTACAGCCAGTCTTCAAGTAACACCTCCTCCTCCTCCTGCCTGGCGGCCCTCGCTCCCGCCAGCGAGCATGGCGACCCACAAGCTGGTCCTCCTCTGAGCACCCTCACCAACCAGCTCTCTCGACATCACGCTTGTAACCAAGCTGCACTGTACATCCATTACAATATGTATACAGAGAGCACATTATGAGTTTCCTTTCTCCATCCCATCCTGAGTGTGAACAAAATATCGGTACCCCACAAAGTCACACGATGGGGTTATTATTAATTTATGTCTACGTGCTACAACTAAATATTGAATAGAGTATTGTACTGTGGGACACAAAAGGACTTGGCCAGCGCTGTATGGTTGTGCTGTTAGGGGAACCATCTATAGCGTTGTTTGTGTTGACGTCTTGCATTATTTTATCTTTCAGTTTCAACCTACGACCGAATTCAATATTGATAATTATTTAGGTAATAAGTTTTTGTTCTTATACCTGTGTAATTAGCATTTTCTTATTAAAGGTAATTATAATTTTTATATTGAATGAGTTTTGGACTTGTGTACAATAGTCGTGACCACCGCATATACCATTTATCATCATCGTACTTTGCGTGGCCATATATACACGATAGCTTACGTATACCGTTTTTTTGGGGGGTCATTTTTAACTGCCTTGTTATATTCTACCTGTATGTGATAGTGTATGGAACCGACTAGCCTCAGAAAGGAAAATGTATGCAATAAAGCGGCCACCCCAGCCCCTTCTCCACGCAGACTGGCCCCATTGGACAGGTATTTCCCACAATCTTTCGTACAGTCGCGTAATATTTCGTCGTATTCGTGTTTGAGTTACTTCTGCTGACACATCCTACAGATTCGAGTTTTAACAATCACCAAACTAAAAGGAATATCTTGGAAAAAACTCACTTTATAATAATATGATATAAGTACAGATAAATCCCTTAAGAACAGGTAAAAAACTCTTTTGGTGGCTGGTAAGACTGACGGTGTGGGAGGGTGGGTGAAGGGGTCCGGGTTGAGGGAGGGAGGGCAGTGTGTAGGAGACTCTAGCTGGCTCAGTGTAGCGTCCCATTGCCATAAGCAAGTGTGTCGAAAAACCTGTGGCGTTGTGTGTTGGTGTTTATCGTATTACACAAGACACTTGAGTACCAGTGTGTTGGTGACCTCAAATGATCGTTAAGCTTGGTATCGTGACCTGTCAAGTGTGTTTGTGTTTGTGTACAGGTGGGCGTGGTGGGAGTGCAGCGGGGTTTTTTTTTGTTTTATATAAACACTCCACGAGGCAGGCAGCGGGAGGGTCAGGCAAACTTTGTGATTCATCATTTGTGTGTGTATAAAACGGGATGGGAATTTAATTGTCGCACAGGCATCATTTATATTAGGCTGGGATAACATAAATAACAAGAATTTTGGTGCGCTGCCAGAGTCGGTCGCCTGGCAGTGTTGTCTGAACGTTGGCAGCAAATTCCTCCCTACTTCCTCACATTTCTCTTAGAACCCGACCCATATCTAACAAATCAATGAAAAGTCTGTCTGGATGATGTATATTGTGAACGAACTGTATTTAGTTATTATAGAAAACTAATCATACCTTGACCTCCAAGCGCTTACATCATCAAGTGCATTTTGTCTGCCTGAGAGAGATATAATCAATGGACAAGAGAGAGAGAGAGCCTGAGTCACAAGAGAGGACAAGCAAGTCAGTGTGTGAACCGTAGCAGACTGTGCATGATGGTTTATACCCAGATGATCCCGTAGTCAGTGACGATGCACATACTGTATTAAACTTGAATGAAGTATTATGGAATAGCTTTTGTATCAAGTCAAAACATAGGGAAGAGGACATGCATTCCAAGTAAAGGATAAAATATTGAAGTTGTTACGAACAGAGTAACGCGTAGATCAGCTTCGTGAATTTGGGACAGTCGATGTTTCCGCCTCATGACAGTCCGCTATTGATCCATATATCCACGAAAATAGACACGTCTGCTGAAATCCTATTTAATTTAATGTGTTGATATATCTATTTGAGTTATTTACGAATTTGTTAATTGATTTTAAATATTAACCCGCTGTACCGTAGGAAAATCGATCGTATTTAGATACTCGGCAGAAAATGTTGATCAAATCTAAACACGCTATTTGAGATACAACGGCAGCATGTGTAGGCTGACAACAAACGCCTGGTGTTGGTGGGTCATGATCACATCAGCACGTGTGGCCTTAGACTTGAGGGGATGGGCTGGGGGTTGTTTTAACTCACCAGGCACTCATCTAACGTGAAGCTTGGTGGTAGAAAGTTGTGTGGCAGCGGTGGTGTGTGAAGGTCAGAACGTCTTGTGCTGCCTCGAGGAACTGGTGCGCAATAACGATTCGAGGAGACGGTGGTTTTTTGTGTGATTGTTCATCTAAAATTATAATAGAACTTCCAAGGTTATTTGTATTTCTGTCTGTTCATTAGTTGGCATTATAAATTAAGTTGTATCACATATATTTCTGCATAATCTTGATGTCTGCATCATACAAACTGCCATTAAATACATTTGTGTGATTTTGTCAGCAAGTGCAGCTTTCTAGTATATAATTCGCTCTACGACCGAGGGCGTTAATGGTGGCTAGTCTCAGTGCGTGTTGAAATATTCGACTCGTTTCACACCCTCTCGACCTCTTTATAGATAACAAGGACACTTAGCCCACTTCAAACACCGGAGGCACTTGATTGATAAGACACTATAGAATGTTACGACTCATCTGTGATAACATCTTGGGGACACAAATTAGGAATTATCAGAAAGGTTGTCTGTTATAGCTTGAAATTACTGTTTTGTAGACAACTTAATATTTTGTAAAGTAGAGAGCCAACGATGTTTACTCGCTGATGTAAGTTACGGCAAGCAAATTAATGACCATATATGTTTAGTGAGGTTCAGATAGATTTTTATTAATAGTGCGGTAACATGTATATACTGTACGTACACAGGGTATTATATCTGTGTCTGGGAGGGTATAGCGGGCGTGGTGGGAGATGTTTTAAGAAAAAAATATTTAACCTAATCTAAAAGGTTATTAGAAGTTAAAAAAATTTAGCTGGTGGTACTGTTTATCCACTAGTATAATGTTGGTGGGGGTTTAGTGGTTTATCGCGAGGGAACTTAAGTGGTGGTATATATTGTCTAACACATGCTTGGGGTGTGGTGCAGCCTCGCCAGATTTCGTGAGGCTGCACTGGGTCCTACGCGTGAGTGAAATACTGTAAATGTCGAAACCCTAAACCTTAAAGGAACTGCTGCACGGAAATGTATATAGGTAAGACTGAAGAAACAGCGATCGGGAAACTACAACAAAAAGTGGGTGGGAGTCAAGTGAAAATTCGGGAGGGGGGTGTGGCCGTCTGGTGACGTGACTTTCTAGGGAAAATATGACTAAGGTGGTGGTGACAAATAGCTAACTCTAGTCTTTATTATAGGGTAGAGGTCATCCTATTTCTGAATGGTTTAAAAAATGACGTATAACTCCTGAATTAGCGATTTGTTGATATTCTTTCCCTTGTCGCACACGTTTTCACCAGAAATTCTGGAAGCTACACGTCAGGGCAACACGAACAAGTGAAAACACGAAGAGGGTGTGTGAATAACAATATAAACATAAAAACATAAAGGGCGCATTCGACTGTAGATGCAGAGTAAACCGTAAAGTAAGAAATGACTTAATATATGGCAAACCTGAGAAAGTATAGCAGCACTTGTCATGGCGGCTGACCAATTCCTGGTGTAGAGGAGCTGCACGGGGTGTGGGTGTTGATGAGACCGGAGGACAGTGTTAAGCCTTGGAAACCTGGCTGGAAATCAGACGGTTTGTTTAGAGTACCGTTCAGCTTTGGTGAGATGTATATTATTCATAATTTATTTTATTTAGTTCACTAATTAGCAATACAATGCAGGGGCGAATTCAGGGGGGTCCTGTGGGTCCGGATCCTCCTTTTCATCCGAAAATTTCAATACTTTTCCTCAAATGCAGTATAGCACTCAGACTTTTTTTGGTCTAGTAAAAAATAATTACTATTGACCTCAGAATATCTCCTAACATCAAGTGTACATGGCTTCAAAATGGCCTCAAAAGGCCCATGTTATTGGTCATAAAAAATTGGGGGGCTTTCAGCGCCATGCCCCCCCTCCCCCCAAAGCTGGGTGGGCTCGCTATAGTACTCGCTGTGTCCCCTACCCACAATTTCTTGGACCCACTCCCTTTTGATATTTCTGGATCCGCCCCAGCAATGATTATGTGTATGTATTTTTGTTGATACGATGAAAAGAGCTGACTAAGAATTCGAAATGTCACGGGACAGTAGTTACCAGTCACAAGTATTTAAGAAAGGTTTGCTAGAAAAACATAAGCGTAAGCATGAGTAAACAGAACATTGACGTCACTGAAGGCAAAACAGGTGGGCGAGGAGATTGTGGTGGTTAAAACAGTGAGAAGTGTGACGCATAGGGTAATCTTGTACGAAAACGACAAGGCCGTCACTTACACACTCGATGCACACCCGGGGGGCCATCTAACGGGTGGTGGAGATACTAATGCAACAACCCCACTCCACCTCTGATTGCCACTACTCTCATCTCTTACTTCCATTACCCCCCCCCCCTTAATTCCCTTCTTATTCTTTCATCTCCCACTCTTTTCTTCTTTCTCTCTCTACTAAACTCATCATTTGTTGTCACTATTCTCACCCCCCCCCCCCTTTTTGTGAGTGACTAACGGCGAAGGAATTTTTTTCTCAGTTTTGCCGTAAACGGTAAAAAGACGATTGCATGTCTGTTCAACGGAGAAGCGAGTGTGTGGAGGGGGGTGAACAGATTTATGTGTTGCAAGAGATTAATAAGCCAATCGATCATCAAAACATGTAATATTCTAAAAAGTGGTGCCGCTAATTTGTACAACAGATGAGACACGAAAGCTAATATATTCAAGATGGACCTCAAATGGGATCTTACATCGGGAACCGCCGGAGATAAGGCAATGATAAAATAAATAAATGGAAATACACGCCAAGGTTAACGTCATAGCACGAGCAAGAAGACAAGAAGTAAGAATACAGGTAACACGAGGAAGTAAGGCTACAGGCTCAAAATGTCAGTTATCCCTGAGGGTCGGTTGCCCACAGTGGCCTCATAAAAAAAGAGAAACTTGTACTTGATGTTGTAGTCGTTATCTGTGTGACTAGGAAACTTTGCATGACTCTCACTGGACAGGTATTTACCTTGATATTTACTTCATCAACTTTTAAGTACATGTGTGTGACTGTACCCGACCATGCTTAAGTGTATTCTTGCTAACGCTAATTTCAGTGTTCAGGTGTATTTCGATAAATCATTTCCCTCCCCAGATCGCTTACTTTCCGGTGTAATATTTAAAGTGCTCATAATTATTTGATAAGCTGATATAGTATTGCCATTATGTTAGTTGACCATACTCCTCTTATTTTTTTGTTGTGAAAATAGTTGTAATCCTTATCAGTGGCACAGATGGATACACACACGTATCGTTTGATATCATTGATGTTTTTAGCTTCCGTGGTGTGGTGGCTATTATTACATAACGCTGAAAAAGCATTAGACTACAAATTAGTGAGGAGTGTTGTTAAGTGTAATGTGGATTTTAAAGTGTACATGTCTGCGAAATTTTAAAATTAGGTTACTAGGCAGATAATGTAAGAACGACACTTGGGACAATTATATCTTGCGCTAGTCAGGCCACACCTCGATTATGCTGTTCAGTTCTGGTGCCCTTATTATAGAATGGATATCAATTCACTGGAGCCGGTGCAGCGAAGAATGACGAAAATGATTCCAGGACTTAGAAACCTTTCCTATCAGGATGGATTAAATAAACTAAATTTGCATTCCCTAGAAAGACGAAGAGTGCGGGGGGATATGATGAAAGTATTTAAGTGGGTGAAAGGAATCAATAAAGGAGATATAGATGCAGTTCTTATAATATCCGAGCAGGATAGGACTCGGAGCAACGAATTTAAGTCGGATAAGTTTAGGTTTCGGAGGGAGATAGGAAGAAACTGATTCACAAATAGGGTGGTAGACGAGTGGAACAAGCTTAGCAACTTTGTAGTAAGTGCTGGGACGCTGGAAAGTTTTAAAAGGAGACTAGAGAGATTCACGGACGATAGAGTGGTTGTAACTCTCGACAGGATCTGCCATGCACAGGCCAATCGGCCTTTTGCAGACTCCTTATTTTCTTTTGTTCTTATGTGATATATCAGTAATAAGTACAATGTGTGGTATGTGTCCCAGTTGGTCGAGTTACAATGGTAGGTCAAAACGTCTCGAGTTTTTTAAGTATAACATTTATATTAAAAGTAGAAAATCAAGTTTCTCCTTTAAGACGTCATTATTTACTAGACACCCATGGCTTGTGATACGTCAGTTGTATTTGCCAGGAAACTGCGCCAAGTGACGTTACGTGTTGATGGGTGGGAAGTGAAAGCTTTGACTGTTTGTCGGCTACTTGTAATGAATCTATCCTTGGCTATGTTCTTGTTCTAAGATTAGATAAAAACACGCTCTTCCTTAAATATTTCCATTGTATTATTATTATGGCGGGGTTGTTCGTGATCGTTAATAGACCTCACTTGTCTTCATAAACAAAACACTAACATAATCTCAAGACTTTAAAACACACTATCATCTTTTAACTAGACAATGAATTATATTACCTCAAGCTCTTCCAAGGTATGTCTGGGGGGTATATATTATTTAGCTTGAGGTATATTACGATAGAATCAACTGTGTAGTGAGGAAATGAAAGAAGTAAAGATAGAAACTGGGGAACGGTGGACAGATCCCGGTCTCTTCGGCTTCTTGCCAAGAAGTGCGAGGAACAAGTAATTTAAAATACAGTATGTAAAGGAATCGTGAACAATAGGTTAATTCGTTCATTGTATCTCCAATCAAATAGTGACCATTGTATCGTTTAAAGGAAACCGTAGCGTTTTTAATTATCCCTGGGAGGAGTGGAGTTTTGTGGGTGGTTTATACATTTATTTATTTATTTATTTATTTATTTATTTATATATTGCCAACACTAAATAAATATTAAGTGGCTAAAGGAAAAATTAATGCCTCATGTACACCAACACAAACTCTAAAGACAGCATGTTGATAAAGATGTTGTATTGTGATTAAAACCCATATGAAACAAGTTTTCAAGATAGGGGTGGTAAGGAGGGCGAGCCGTGAGGGGCATGACAGACCCGGCCTAACCACCCCTACACACCTGCCAGCACTAGTGAGGACGACTCTACCGTACTGAGGAGTGATCATGTGAGCAGTAGCTACCACGCCCCTGTCACCCTGTGTGTAGTTGTTCGCGCTGATAGTTGTGTTTTTAATATAATTGAAGTAAAATAAAAAAAGCTGTAGATATTTTGGCAATGATAAGTTGGCGTCGACAATATTTACATTTATCAAGAAATACTTATAAGATCAAATTACTTAAATATATGTACTGTAGTGCTGGTACTTATTGTTTTGATGGTGGTGGTGTGTGTGTGAGGCTGAAGGGTGTGGCTGTGAAGGTAGATACCAATGATGACTTTAGACACTACAGTATATATACACAGCGTATAATTAACGCTAATGGTCACACCCACACCGCCAGCTGCCTTGTACAGTGAAATTAAGTCATGTTCATTAGTGTAAGCTTTGCAGTTGAGGGAGACTCAGTGGCGTAGAACGAGTAGCCTAAATACCTCGTAACAGACAAGTACTGGACGATATGTTACAAACTACTTAGTAGATTGAACGGAAGACGGAGGAGGACTGAGGAACCGTAGACCATTGTTGGTTAGTCTAGCCAGTAGACCTGTGTAGTGGTGGAGGGTGGTGTGTGGTGGGCGCGGCAGTGAAGGATGTGCCTCGTATGTATGCTACAGTATATGGGCGACGCTATGGGCAAAGGAGCAGCAGGAGTGTGTGGGGCGCGACAGGGGGAGTACACCATAGGAGGCAGCGAGGAGGAGCGACCTGGACATACCCAACACGACTGGCGCTACTACCTGTGCTGTAAGTGTGTCTCGCCACCCTGGGGCTGCTGCTGCACTCTCTCGCATGTAGTATACCTCCTTACCGTTCTAGGGACCTCTTATCTCTGCACAATTAGGGTTAAACAAACATATTTTGACATTTTAATGATGTTTCAAATTTAAATTGACTTTATTTTCGTTCTTGCATTATTGTTTTTACTGTGTATTACCTTCATTTTCATTCTTGCATTGTTTTTATTGTGTTATTTCCTGTAGTGAAATTTAGGTGTGTGTGGTCATCATTATGAATTGAATAAGAGTAAACGGGGGGATCTTTTCTATGGGATTTTAAGGAAGCAAGTATTTATATGTAAGTAGTAGGAGAGAAATGAGGTGGTGAAGGAGAAAATATAAAGAGGAAAATGAGTAATGGAGGGAATGGAACAGAGGAATAACAAGAGAGAAGGATAAAAAGAGTATTGAGGGGATGATCAGTGTCAGTCATATAATCAACTTAATTATCTTCCTCTAGGTATACCGGATTCATGTAAGTATAGTTTCATTACTAGCTTTGATTGGTTCCCTCACCTACAGGTAACCCAAATGCTGCTCAGGTATTCGCTAGCCCATTCATGAATTGTGTTTTGTATTTAGGCCCCCTTATACTGAACCCCTTTAGACCCCTTTATAATGTACCCTTTAAACTCCTTTATACCGAACCATTTTAGACCCCTTTATACTGGACCCGTATGCCCCTTTATACTGAACCCTTATGCCTTTATACTGAACCTTTTATACTGAACCTTTTATGCCCCCTTTGTACTGAATCGTTTTGGTGATGTGTGATGGAAATACCTTTTATTACATATTTTACCTAATTATGTTCACTAAGCTCAATACCCTACCCTGTGTTAACCTTTAGACGACGATGGTTTAAGCTTTTAACCTTTTGACGATAACATTTTAAGCTTTTAACCCTTTGAGGACGATGGTTTAAGCTTTTAACCGTTTGGGGACGATGGTTTAAGGTTTTAACCCTTTGAGGACGATGGTTTAAGCTTTTAACCGTTTGGGGACGATGGTTTAAGGTTTTAACCCTTTGAGGACGACGGTTTAAGCTTTTTAAGGTAAAAAAAACTAAACCACCATCCTCTAAGGGTTCAAGCTTAAACTATCGTCTCTGCCTCGCTGTATACCATCTCACCATCCATCACCAAATAGTCAAATTCCCTGCCATTATTAGCTTCTGTGCGCGACTGTAAGTTCAGAGTTTACACGAGGCTCGAGATGCATGCTGTCATAGGGTGTTGTGTGCTAGGCTATAGTGACGCTTTGAACACCCTTCACTAACACTGGCTTACAGTTTGTCCGAAACATAGTTTACGCCGTAGTTTAACTGAAATATACAGTTTACACCATAGCTTGCAAAATACAGGAATATAGTGTCCGAAATATACAGTTTACACCTTAGTTTATCCATCGAAAGTGTGCAGTCACATTAGTTCTTATTTATCTTAAGTCACCTTCAATAAAAAAAAATATTTATCTTAATTAACTACGATGCAATATTCTTAACACTGGCAATGATCGCCTTTTTACCTAGAAATTGGGCCATTCATACTCATAATACTGAGATTATCTTGATTATCACGATTGTTCTATGAAATACTACTTGAAGCAAAATATTTTTTGTTTTTAATATATCCACTACCCGGGGTCTTGAAGCTGACACCTACCTTAAGATATAATAATAATAATAGCATAAAGAATATAGGAAAGCAATATTAGACGTAAATATGCTAAGGGGATTTACATACAAAGATCTAATGCAAGACATGGCTGGAGCTTACCCGCTGGAACATTGGAGAGCTCAGAGAAAATTAGCATGAGAAGCGTTATGGTGTTATTTGCCTTCCTCTTCGTTTTATACTGTAGCTTCTCTTGGGTCCCATAGTCAGCGATGATTTCTTATATTGTCTCTCACGAATTCTTCGGACAGGCGTGTCCACACAGGAATAAAAGATAGAGATGCTATGAAGTTGAACCTGCTCAAAATCAGAGCCTCGGCAGCATTAACATCAGATGGACAGTACTTACAAATATTAACAACAATAAAGAAAAAATTTACACTTGGGCAATTTATTAGAAATGCAAAAATTTAATATATTAAAATTATATTAGAGTAGTTATTTTACGCGACGCTTTGTTTATTTTATATAAATATCCTTCTCATTGATTATAGGTTTTCACTTGATCATGGAAATTGGCGCGAACAATCAGGTGGACACTGCCCCTGACACGCGGGAAACACAATTAATAACTTGTGAAGAAAACGACAGAAAACGGGATAGTTGATGGAAACAGTGGTTGTTAAGCTTAAGCATTTACAGTCAAGTTGTGTTTTTTAAATAAATACCTTTTTAAAGATGTATGTATAGAGTGTATGAATGTGTATTAAAGCTTTAAAGATAAATAGTGAAGTGCATGGTGGTACTGGAGCTTAATTATGTAGCTAAGGGATATTAAGCCTGTGTCACTGTGTATGTATAGTATGGTATAACTCTTGTTATAAATATGATATAGAGATGTGTGTATTTCCATCTGCTGTTTGATATTTGATAATGTGGATTAATCTTGATGTATATTGTGTATCTATTAGTTAATCTATGAAGGATTCTTGCATAATACTTAAATGCCAAATTACTAGTGTTTTGTTCTGGAGTCAGATTAGTGTTTTCCGCGATTCATTACATAATGAAAGGAAATACAGTCGAGAACTATCTGTCAATTATTGGTCCATGCTAGGCTACTCAATGCTTCCTCTCAACCATATTCATTCGTACTGTATATCTGTAATCTGTTCAACTGATATTTTAAACTTCCCAGCAGAGAGTTCGAGTTAAGAATAGTGTTTGGTTAACTTGTTCCATTCTGCCACAGTTCTATACGCCCCGATTCCTTCCTAAATGTAAATGTGTCAATTTTAAAACCACCGCTAAGTGTTTGCTTCTGATTTAATTGTTCAAGTATCTCCTCTATTTAAACCTCATGTCTCACTTTGATCATATCGTTCCTCACTTTACGTCTTTCTGGACAATGTAAATTCAGTTTTCTTTGAGAGAGAGAAAGAGGGATGGCAATTTTAAGCTAATACTGTACACCAAGTTTCTCAAGTCTGTAGTTTCACTTTATTGTGGGATTTTACAACGCGTGACCTGACCTTGACCTCACTGACCTCACCCTCACTGACATTTGAATTCATTTAGCAAACACTCGGTATTCTCTTTTAACCCACAACACTGAGCTCTGCAATATGAAAAAATAGTACTCAGCAAATGAATTCGCCCTTGGACGGTGATATTTTACACTGAGAAAACAAAGTGTAAATTTGCTATTTTTTTTAGATTTGTGTGGTCTTTAAACCTAAGTAGAAATTGTTGCAGTTCAATAAAAATTACAATCCTCAGAATATACCCAAAACTGGTGTGTGGTATTGGTGGGAACATGTGAGCAGCCGTCATAGCTAATCTTACTCCCAGCTGTGTGTCTGCCAGTGCCAGCAAATTACATGTGCTTTATGCTGCACTAGCCTGTGTGTCGTAATTATTGTTTCTTTAATCGTGTAGTAAGAAACTGTAGGTTATATGTTGGTTATTATTCAGGTAAAACAATCAGGGTAGTTGTATAAGTATCCCTCCTTAATAAGAGCAGCAGCCGTGTTTTGTCGTATTGAGACTGTGGCACTGTGCCAAGGGTGACATCATTTACCGCACCGTGTTGTGTGGTGCCCGTGTGTACTGGAAACCAGTGGTAGCAGCTTAATCGATGCTTTTGGAGATAATCGTGTGTGTGTGTGTGTGTGTGTGTGTGTATGTGTGTACTAGGTTGGTGAGCATGGAAGCTGGTGGGACAGGACTAGTGGTTGGCTGGAGGGTGAGGGACCCCAGGCTAGCGGAGGAGATAAAAGACACTGATCACCAGTGATGAGGTGAACCATTATAGAATATTTGGTTAAGTAAGTCGTAACAGACGTCAGTAGTAAGACTCGACAAAGGTGCTGCTGCACTATAGCTGTCTTTGTCAAATAAGTCGGTTACACAGGAAATATACATAATACCTGACCTATATCTGATGTACAGTCACTGAATAACTTATCAACTCCTCCATTATGTATCACAGACCAGTCCGGCACCAGGAACGGATCCAGGGGGGTTCCGGGCCCCTTTTCATCAGAAAAGTCCAATACATTTTCTTTAATGCAGTATTGTACTCTGGCGTTTTTGTGTAGTAAGAAGTAATTACTATTGACCTCAGAATATCTCCTAATGTCAAATGTACATGGCCTAAAATGGCCTCAAAATGCCCATGATATTGGTCAGATTTCCAAAAAAAAAAATCTTGGGGCTTACAGTGCCCCCCCCGTCCCCCACCCAATAAAAACAAAACAGTTGGATGGGCTCTCACCCTATTCCCTCACTCACAACTTCTTGGACCCCCTCCCCCCCATCTTTTGATATTCCTGGATCTGCCCCTGTTACACACACACCGGATGAATGGTACAAAGTTTGCTAAACAAGTGTGATTTAGACGGAGCTGTCTCCTAAACATCAGTTGTAGCCCGCATCACGTGTGTCCCCCAATAAAGACCTTAATGCATGCCAATTGGCTTGTTAGAGATGTGGTGGTGAGTGAAGGAAGAGATTAATGTTTGTCCTCCACTTGTGACATAAATATAAAACGTAAATTATTTTACTGATCGCTGTCTTGTTATCACTACCCACTAACCCTTCTGTAGTGCACACGTACTGTATAAAGCTTACCTAACGTAACCTTCTAATATGGTTGAATTAGGGCCACTTTACTGGAAGTGATTGCAGGTGGAGGGAGCTCTCTGGCTGCACGAGTCTAGTGTGTACAGTGTAGCTGCTGGTCCTGGGTGGAATGTTCTGAGAGACACCTGTACAACTTTCCTTTTTGTTATCACTTATAACCTGTTGATTTATTCCTCAGTCATCTAATACTATTTCATTTAGATCGGTCTAACACTCATAAAAGTCTTTCGCGTGTTGGTAATAATTACTAGTAGTGAATCATGTTCCAGTTATTTTTAAGTTAACCTTGATGGTACAATACATTAAACTCATTTTTATAACTACAGTATAATGACTTTCAGTGGATAATGTATTGTACAGCTACAGTATATTATTACTGCTATGCAGATAACTTAAGCATTGATCTCTTTTATTCTCTCAACAAAACACCGATTCATTATTCATTATTATTCTTTCCTAATTTTCATCACTTGCTCTAAAAGTTGACTGTGAACGGTATGAAGGAACTTGAATGGAAGAAACAAAAAATGCCACACTTGTACTGCTGGTACAAGGTACAGTTTGTTGATACAGGGTACATAGTAAACTCACACAAGGTACGGTACTACAAGAACTACAGTACTGTATATGAGTTTAGGTGTACTGTACTACTGTGTAGTGTTTTCAGTGTAGCAATGAGTGAAATAAATGCTGTATAGTTTGTGTGTGCAGTATAGTCTGCGTTGTGTGTATGCATGTGTTTTGTGTGTGATCATAATTGAGTTTTCTCATTAGGTATGCTAGTACAGGACAGTACAGTACTGTATTGTTATATCAGTACAGTATCAGGTTGATTAAATAATAAGTAATACTGACTTGTATTACTGTACAGTACTTGTATATTATTGATACCATATCAAAACTCTAAACTTATACTGTATCGAAATATTTGGTATTTTTTATCTTTCTCAAATGCCTTTAAATTCATTATTGTTTTGTCATTCAGTTCATGTTGAGCAAATATATTTAACCAATCTGTAAAATAAATTATCAATTCTTTTCCTTTGACTGTAGATTTTCTTTTTTTATCAGTGGCATCAAAATTAAAAAAAAAATCCCAAATACAACTATATAAACTGACAGCCTCTTATTTTTCAGGCTTCAGCAAGGGTGGTCAGCGTGCTCAGCGAGGCAAGATGGTTTTCTTGCACGGCGTACTATACATGGAGGTGATCGAGGCGAACAACCTTCCAGATGTTGACACTTCTTGGTTTAGATCCTCAAAGGATGTTTCAGACCCATATGTAACTGTTGACACTTGTGCTGGGGGAAAGAAGACGTGTCGTATTGCAAAGACTTCCATCATCTATAACTCCTTGAATCCACAGTGGGGAGAGAAGTTCCGTATTGAACTGTGTCACGAAACAGAGTCTCTGTTATTTACTGTTAAAGATCTGGATTTGGTGAAGATAGAATGTATAGGCTACATGAGCATTAGAGCAGTTGACTTACTTCAAGAAGAACCAGTCACTGGATGGTTCCCACTCCTTGGCAGGGATGGTAATCCATCTGGTTCCATCAATATTTCTCTTCGCTATCTCTCCTCTTCATCTATCACACGATCTAATGAAGTTCCAGATACTGTGTTTCCTCTACGGTCAGGCTGCCGAGTGAAACTGTATCAGGATGCTCACACACCTGCCCTCCCACCTCTCACTGATATTACTCTTCCTAGTGGGGAACCCTATGAACCTCCACAACTGTGGGTTGACATCACCAATGCAATTGAAAATGCTCAAAAACTCATCTATATTATTGGATGGAGTGTGAAAACAGACATCAGTCTGCTACGTGATGGTGAATGTGAAAATTTGGGTGATATTTTGAAAAGGAAAGCAGATGAAGGTGTGAGGGTCTTGGTGATGGTATGGAATGAAGCCATGAGCACAGATATATACACCCCTGGTGTCATGGGTACTCACGATGAGGAAACGAGGATATTCTTTGAAGGAACAGAGGTTGAGGTTTTCTTGGCCCCACGTCAGAAAAACAAAGGCAAGATAATGGAGAGCAACTTTGTTGCTACTTTGTACACTCATCATCAGAAATGTGTCATTGTGGATGCTGAGGTTGAGAATGATGACAGGCGTCGTCTCGTTGCCTTTGCAGGTGGCATTGACCTTACTGATGGACGCTGGGACACGCCAGAACACCCACTCTTCAAAACTCTGCCAGACTGTCACCAGCATGATTTCTATAATGGAGTATGTCAGTCCAATGTGACAACAGGGCCACGTCAACCATGGCATGACATTCACATGTATGTCGAGGGAGCTGCTGCCAATGATATACTTACAAACTTTGTAGAGCGCTGGCGACGTCAAGCTCCTGACCGGGAGAATCGACTTCTTTCAGTCTCTGAAGACGACTTTGTCTTAGATTGGGAAGCTCCTGATGAATCTCCTTGGAGTGTCCAATTTTTCAGATCAATTAACTCAGATTCAGCACAATTTGATACTAGTGCACTTGATCGCCTTCTGTCTCGAAAAGGGAGAATGTATGAGAACTCTATCCAGCGAGCTTATATTCACCACATAAGACGGTCTAAACGCTTCGTCTACTTGGAGAACCAATATTTCCTTGGCTCTGCCCATGGATGGCTGGTGCAGGAGGCCAAATGCCCTCATCTGATACCCATAGAGCTAACAACAAGGATAATTAATGCAATTAAAGCTGGTGAGGATTTCCGTGTATATATTGTTATTCCAATCCATCCAGAAGGAGACCCAACCTCAACAGCAGTGCAGGAGATTCTCCACTGGCAGCACCGAACGATGGAGATGATGTACAGAAAGATTTCTAAGGCAATTCGTAAAGCAAAAATTGATGCTCATCCAACGGATTACTTAACATTCTTTTGCCTTGGTAAACGTGAAAGTCCAGATGAAATACCCGATGGCTTAGAAGAACCAGATTCAAACAGTGTTGCAGCAAAGGCAAGGGAAAGTTTGCGCTTCATGATATATGTTCACTCAAAAATGGCAATCTTTGATGATGAATATATCATTGTAGGATCTGCAAACATTAATGAACGCAGCATGAGTGGCAACCGTGACTCAGAGATGGCTGTTGGTGCATTCCAACCACAGTTTACGAAAGAAAAATGTGGAGACTCTCAGATAGAAGGTGATGTTCGTACCTTCCGTCTGTCTCTCTGGGCAGAGCATTGTGGGTCTCACATGGAAGAACATCTATCCCCAGAATCTGTATCTTGTATGGCAGCAATGAAAGATCTTGGTGAAGCAAATCTACAAAAATACATTTCCCCAGAGGCTGAACATAATGACTCACATTTAATGTTCTATCCATTGAGTGTTAGTCAAGATGGCCGTGTAGAAATGCGAGAAGACTTCCCAAAGTTCCCGGACACTGGTGGATCTATCACTGGCAAGAACTCCAACTTCTTGCCTAATTCTCTAACCACGTGAAAGCTCTCTGCTGAACTGTTGATCTCGGATATTTCTCTGGCATTATTTTGTGCTTGATGAACAAAAAACTCTGAATGACATCAGCCATATTTAAGGCTAGTGTGAAGATACTAATGTTTTGTTTCCAGTAAAACATAATGAAGAAAGGAATGCGAGTCCATTATCCAGCTTGATATATTTGATAAAATCAACAATAGTCATCAGAGCTGAAAATGTTGATTTGTGAATAAATAATTAAAGGTACCCTTGGATTCATGTCCATGCAGCTCTTGCCTTTATGTTTAAGGTACAAAAATAAATTAATTAATGCTAGCATTTTATAATGACATAGTAGCTACGGTAGTTTATAATTATTAGGCTAGATGCAGAGTTATTTTTGGTGTTAAGTTTCAAAGCCCAAAATGAGTGATTCAATATATAACAGAACTTTTAGTGTTGCAAGCAGGAAGAATGTCTTTTTTTTGTGTACAGTAATAGTCATTGAATTATTTTGTAATTTTTGTCATTTCGATTTACCCGGTAGCTACTCTTTACATTACTGTATCTCTACCTAATTATTTACTCGGTACAGTATAATGTTTACATAGTCATTATGATCGTATTTTTAGTGGTAAAATAATGAGAACGAGATATCATTGTTTTATATGTTAGGAATGATACATTTGATATGACTGAATTAAGTAAAACTGATATCAAGGAGAAGTAAATATAACAGTACTGTACCTGTTATATATACAGCTCCTCCCCGACTTACGATGGAGTTAGGGACCCAAATCCAGGTCGTAAGTCGAAAATGCTTAAATAATACATAGAAAATCTAAAATGGGTGTCTCGTTCTCTTCTCAGCACCACAAAACTCTCACTTTTAAGCTTGCCAGCCATTTTAAAGTGAATTACAAAGGAAAATTTTCTCTGTGTACTGACGTTGGGACTCGAAAATGCGTAATTTGACAAAATTTTGGTAAGACTGAGGCAGGTTGTAAGTCGAGTAGGTCGTAAGTCGGGGAGGAGCTGTAATGTGGTTTATTCCTGTCGCTTCACACACACACCAGCATCACCCGTCTGCAGCACCTCCCTCCCCAGTAATCACTCTACGCCATCATTTCTGCTCATCCATGCCTGCTGCTGTGGCTTCCTGGGTCTTCATGTCTCTCACAGCTAGTACAACTTTCATTTCATTCTTGCAATGTTTTTGTTTTTGGTCATCGTTTCCCACTCCTGTCATCCACCTCTTACTTATACAGTACTACAGTCTTTCTCACAAGTCTTACCTCCCATTTTCCATAATTGTCTACACCATCAGAGCCCATCCTGATATGCTCTCCGACTGATGCTTCTTTCTCTGTCACAACTCATCATTTCTATATTTCTTATTTTATGTACTATTCTATTTACCTCACTGTACTTTCTCATTTCTGTATCTTCATGTTTGCTCCTCCAGCATCCATGCTTCACACCCATATAATATCATTGTAGTAATTCCACTGTTCAGTATATCACCAGCTTTACCTTGTTAGGTGTAGACACACATGTCTCACACCACTTATTACTTTGTTTTCTTCCATTGGCCAACACATCCATTCCCATATACCTGAAACACTTCACTTCCTCTATTTTAACTCACACTTGTTCCTCCTCCTCTCCCTACCCTCTTTTTTGCCATCACTCTACTTTTGTTCGCATCTATCTGAAGTTTTTTCAAAGCATGAAGTACTGTATATGCAGTAGTATATTCAAATGGAAGAGGTACTACTGTACAGTATTTCATATACAGAGAGTACTGTACTGTACTGTAAAAGCATGTTTGTTATACTCGTTCAAAATGCTGAAATTGAAGGTAACAGCCAGGTAGTGACAAGACAGAATTAAGAAAATGGAAAATAATTTTTTTCTGTAATTATTTGGATAAGATAAAAATTGTCAGCTGTTGTGTTGTTGTAAAATTAGGTTATGTAGACCTATTTATTGCTGTATATAAGACTTATTGAAAAAGATGATACAGTACGTATATAAAAAGGGAGCATGTGATAGACCACTGTGAAGCGAGTGAGCACAGTAGATTCATGCCATAGTTGGAGTAAATAAAAGGCTGTAGTGTTTTGTCACAGTTGTTTAACACACACACTGATGATGTGTCAGAGGGTCCCTGAAGTGAAGGTGTTGATGTGAAGTAAAGATACTGGAGGAGGAGGGAGGGAAGTTAGGTGCTCAGCTAAGATGATAATGACAAAGTTGAATTTATTGGGATATGTACAAAAGAAAAGTGAATGCAAATGTACTGTATATAAACTCAAGGTAATTGATAATAGGAAGTTAATCAGAAATATGGCCAGGTAGACAAAAGTCTCAATACAGTATTAGGGTTGTTGATGGTGGATTAGAAGCTAGATGTCAATGACAGTTTCTTGACAAATGTTAATTACCAGAGGTTTAAGGTAAAGCAATACAAGGGCAATAATACAGTGTAGTGGGATTTGTCAGATATGAACTCCATGAACGAGTGTAAGTGTTTGTCACATGGGTTTATGGATGATGAGTACAGTATACTGTACTGTATATATTTAAGGTTGATATTTTAGAAAGGGTGTGCAGTGAGGAGAAGTTGAGGAGGAATACTTAAGAAATTAGTATAAGATATGATGTAGTGAATGAAATATGGTACTTAATAAAGTTAAAAGGTGTAACACTAAGGTGGTATGTTACGTACCTGTGGAGAAAATGTCTGCAATAATGTATAAAGTGACATGAAGCCGCCATCAAGTGTTATAGATGGTCTGAGTGAGAGAAACATAGTTTAGAGGGGCTTTATGCTGGAAAAGTCAATGGAATATGTGAAGGTCATGATGCAGTGTGTGAAGGAGTAGTGTAGGAGTCACCTTTATGCATGACTCAGGGCCTCTGAGATTAACAAAGGGAAAGACTTGACAAACATCTGTTCATTCTACAAAATGCTGTACAAGGAAAAGTTAGTATGAGTATTATACTACATTTTTTATTGTAAGTGGTTACCATTGGTGTTGCTTATATTCAGTACAGTATGTTCATGCTGCAAAGTAGGATATCTCAGTTTTTAGAAAATTTCAATAAAAAAGTTGCTAAATATTATACTGTAATGTTGATTCGAGATTCATGAACAGTAAAACCTTTATTTAACGGAAATTCTGTTATATCGAGGGTCCATTAGATGTGAAACCTCCATCTAACAAACTATAGAAATGAAAGTCCGTTATATCGAGGGTCCGTTATATGTGGAAACCCCCAACTAACAGATTAGATAGAGAAAAGTCCGTTATATGGAGGTTTCACTGTATTGTACATTAATGATCAATATTACTTGATTATTCATGTAAACGTCAATGATTTTAGCACAAATGTAAAGAGTTATTGTCTTACACAGCTGGTATACATAATACACCTCTATAATAGGACAAAGATGTCAAATACTTTACTTGTACTGTAATTATATTTTGTTGAAAGACATGACAAGTACTTCGGTATGTGCAAAACCTTATTAATTATAAAAAAGTTAAGGCATTTGACTTACAGTATACAGTAGTTAAGAAGGGTAAGAATACTCAACCCTCACTGTTACTGATGGCCACATTAGTTACAATAAATGAGTTGTGATTCCATTACCTGCACTTTGTTATTGTTGCTACCAGGGACTCGGCACAACTTTATTTAAATGTATAGATAATATCAGTTAAATACGTGTAAATAGTATTAGTATGCCATTGTACACCAAAGTTTTTAATACTGTAGCTAGTATAATAAATAGTAAACATTATTTGCTGGCCTAACTTATACTTGTGGCATCTTGATTTAGGTAGAGGAGGATGAGGCATTTATTTTATGTATTTTTTTCATGATTTATCAGTTAAAATTGATAAATACTGTATAGCTCTATAAATATATTTTATAAATGGTTTGATATTTTTGCATTTTTAGATAAATGTACATCATTTAAAGTTGGTAGGTACCTTTAGACTTTTTTATTAATTATATAATAACTGATTGACATTCTACAGATTCAGAACTTTTCAAACTACTGTACAAACACTGTGGACCATACATTTATTTATCACTTAATTTTGTCCATGGATATACCAGTATGTAATTCATGTCGTGGAAATTTCCCATAAGTGTTGATATAAAGATTTTTTCAAGTGTTTATTATATACTGTATGTAACTACTGTACAGAACTATTCTTTATAAGTGTGATCCAGTGAACACGTTGTCTAGTTTATTATTGTCATCACAAAAATATAAATCTTTCATGTATTTTTGGTGGGTTTTAAAGGCAGTTTTGTAAAGGGTTTGAAGACAGCTTCTCTTTGTTTTAATAATGAATTTATATATATATCTCTCCTCAAGTTATATTTTAAATTAAAATTTATCGAATGAAAATTATTGAAATGTTGAAGGCTTGAACGTTGATGAATACTTGAAATATTTGCTAGTACTGTACAATATGTTAGTGGTGCAGTTGCATGACGGATAAAGTCAGAAATTTGTTTTTGTTTTTTTCATGCACTCTACGCACTGTATGTAGCAATACAACTCGTGTGCAAGTGTGTGTGTTTGTGTGTAAGTAATAAAGATAGCCTGTATATGCACAAAAGTACAATATGCAGTATATTTGTGTTGTTGCAGCTGATAAAGAAGTCAAAGCCTTATGAAGAGTCTGAAGTTTCATAATTTCATGTACTGTACAGTATACTGCTAGGCCTTTGTATGAATGTTCAATTTTTTGTTTTTTAATTTGTGTTTTTTGCAATTGAACTTTGGCACACATGGCATGGCAAAGACAAAATAAAGAGTTGCTTTTAGCTATTTTGGTGCTAAACATTTTGCATCCAAATAAAGCTGTTGGTTTTTGTCCATTTTATTGTTTGACTTCCACCATATATTGTCTTTAACAAGGTTGTGCATGTAGGAACATGTACCGTCAGGGTCAAAAGTTCACTCACGTCCAAAATGAAGGAGCATCGACCCCAAATGAGATGAAACAGTCGGGGTAAGTCAGTTTGGAGACTCATTCCCGTGACCCGGTTTCACCATAGGGAGCGAACCTTTGTTCCCAACTGTACAGTATTTTACTTATGACCGAAGTCTTCATTGGAAAGTTAAGAAGCTATCCCCATGTTCCCTTTTACAGCATGCCTTTCAAATTTGCGGATTTTTATTTCACGGATGACACCCTGGATGTACCCAAGAATGTCTAAGGGCAGTTTTAAAGTAAAGTTGCTGGCATATTCGTGGCCGGTACAGGAAACCATTCGTTCTAGAGAAAGTAATTTCCTTTACCTGTATTGTATATACTGTATGTGTGTGTGTACTCACACACTCATATATACAATACAGGTAAAAGAAATAGTTATCCTTAGGGTAAACACAAATGGAATATATATTTCTTTGTACACAAGTAAACATGTAACCCGCTCCCCGGTCAGCAAATGTTATACGTGTATTTGCAAATTTGCCGATTAACTGCTATTTTGAGAACCTAACCCCCGCGAATTTGAAGGGCATGCTGTACAGTATCTATTTTCCTGTATACAGTATTGTACAGGTAGATAATTGAAATACTGTATGCAAATTACTTAAAATGTTTACTTTTATTATGTGAAATAATGTTACTTGTGCAGTACAAATATTAACATTGCTAACAAGTAAAGAAAAAATATATCAAACTGTCTCAACATATTGTACTGTACTGTAAATAGAAATACAATCACCTCTGGTACATGTAACATTATTAGTAGAATTTATAATGTTACTGCTTTAACATTTGGAAACTGGACATAAAGAAAAACTGATTAAAAAGATTAGATAAATACCTTTAGTGAAACAATGTACTGTAATTAGCTTTACTCTTTATGGTATTCTAGGAAGTAATCAGAGACTTGAGCTATATTAATATAGACAGGTGCAATGAAAGTAAAACAGCAAACAACCTTAATAACTAAACAACTCTTTTTGTAATAACTGAGAGAATTTTTTATTGCTACATGTTAAAGATCCGACTCATTATAGGGATAAACAAACACTGGATCTCATCTTAACTAATGAGGAGGGTATGGGTGGCTATACTGTATTGAGATAATTTAGCCTCCATCAGCACTAGCCATCACTTGACATTGCCCTTCAGATTTAATTTTTATTTGACACATAATAATAGAAGGCCAAAGTTGAAATATTACAATGTGGGAGGAAGCAAGGCATATTGACTGGCCTAATAGGTTGAACAATTAGAATGTGGATGCTTGTAAATAATTTACATCTCTGGGTGCTGGGTTTGAACTGGGGCCACCACGGTTGACAGTCACGCACCTAGTCCAATGGACTACAATTGGCTTAAACCATGGTTGCCCCGGTTCAAACCCGGCACCCAGAGGTGTGAATTGTTTACATCGATTTATTTATGTATATTACAGGCTCTGATACTGTATATGTAGATGTTTCCTGGTAAATCATAGAGAGTAAAGTTAAATAGTTGATGGCAAAGCCTGTTAGTTCAAGAACAACCAAGACATGTTATGCATTAACCAAACACCAACTTTCCAAAGTTAAGAATAAATTTCAAGCGATGGGTTGATACCAATGATGAGCAAGAAACCTTTAACCCTTACAATGCAATTCCTACATTTTAGCATTTTATTCTTGCTACAGCCAGACAATTTTATTCAGCTTAGGGAATCTTCTGCAGCCAAAGGGTTAATAAATGGATTATATAAACAGTACATCATTAAGTATATTTTGTATGGCCTTCATACAAATCAATGATAAGAAAACCTAGACAATTATGCCTGACACCTTGATAACAAACACACATATTTGTTGAGAACAAAAACTTATACTAATTTATTTCTCTTAAATTACTAATAATGTTGATAGAAGGTCAACCTTTTTAAAAAAGTAGAATGATATTTTAGCAAGTAAGCATTCCAAGGGAAATTAGGAGAGAGATGACACAACATAACAAGACTCTGTTAAACTCATATTATCCACCATCACACATTACAAATAAATGCAACAAGTGTGTTCAGTGTTCACCACACACACACACCACTTACAGCTACCAAAGATTCTATAAATTGTATTTGCATTATAGCTCTTGTAATATATATACAGGGTATATATATTTTTTATTTTCACATGATATTTGATGGCACTTGAAAACATCTAGACATTTTGAGATGTATCTATAAATCTGTACTTTATATTTTTGAGCCCCTTAAAAGATGGTTAACATTTACAGCTGTAGAGGAGAAAACATCTCACAAAAAGACCTGAACTTTTGTACATGCTTATATAGTATTCAGAGGTTAAAAAACCAATACAGTACTGTGTCATCAATAAACCCCTGATAGATTCCTTAACTCAAAAACCATTCTGGTTTCAGTCGCTTTTTACAAATTTAGTTAAAATTATATAATACAGTTTGTCAGACATTTGAACCAAGCGGTCAATATGGAATAACTAAGTGTAATTACATTACTAATATCCCTAACATTTAAACTTATAAAGAAATTACACACAACAGTAAACAAAATGTGTCATAAATACACATTCATAAATATAATGTAAATACCAAACCAACATCCAATTCCAAAGACACAATTTAAGTCTATATCAATATCTGACAACATTCCACCCCAATGCATTTAGTGTACTGTAATAGGCTAGAAAGATTGAGTGTCATGATCAAAAGGAAGAAAGCATTGTCAAGTTATCAAAGTATTGTGGCCACATTATCCTATTACTAAGGTGCTTCATTAACCCACTTTAGAGAATTAATCATAACAAATTTAAGCATCTCAAAGAATAAATACTAAGAATCCCACAGACTTTAGCCTTAAAACCAATAAAAACACACACACACACCTTCAACCAGTATGAAAGATCTCTATCTGGCCAAGGACAGAGAGAGACGTATGTAAAAGCTACCTAGAAGATACGAGTTTCTTATTTTGGAGAAAAAAAATTTGAACCATAAACACACTCCACATCCCAGTCACACCATTCATTCACTGCATATAAACCTCATTCATTGCTCAAGTTAAATTTACCCCCTTGTTAAAGTACAAATGTTCTATTATATAATCACCACGCATACATACAAACTAACACGCAGACCCTACTAGTGTCCCAGCCAGTAGTCTCCCCAGAATCTTCTCTAGTTCACATAATTTAGTCTATGTATATTTGAATTATTATTGAGAGCAGAGATTTGAGGTAATATTCCCCAGCTAAAACTTTATCCTTTAAACAAATATGTCACTAAATAACATCTCAGTATTTGTATAACAAAAGTTTATGAATGACAATCTCACTCTATATTCAATTTATAATATACATATTATAAACACTTCCATTATTGATGAATTGTTGACATTCTTCTGAGACATGATACAGTCTCCCCTTATGTACACTTCTAACTCACACGTTTTGTTTTTAATATTTTGTGAAGTTTGTTTTAATTCTGAAGACCATAATATAAAACCATTTACATTATACAGTATTAACTTTCCACTCTCTCAAGGAAGCTTTTAATGTGACAAACTGATCAGGTCTAACATAAATGAATAACACTTCAGTGACCCTGTCTGACCTGGTCGGTATTTCCATAATATTTTCATAACTATAATATTGCAATCATTCCATACTCTTAAAATTGTTATATTGTCTTGATGCTATTAAAAACTTTTTCTATAATACTGTGATGATTGAGCAGAAGGTGGAGGTGCATGGTGGGGAGGAGGCCCTGGAGGATGAGAGGGAGGGGCTTGTGGTGGCGGAGTGGACCACTGAGCAGCCGTTGCATACTGCCCTTCATACTGGGGCCGACTGCCATATGTCGTTGGGGGTGGGACGGTTGGAGCGACACTTGAATAAGGAGGTGGTGGGACAGTGGGATTTGGTGGTGGAGGAGCTGCAGGGTTCGGTGGGTATGTGTACTGAGCTGGCTGGGTGCTGTAGGGTGTGGTGAAAGACGTAGAGTACGGAGACGGTTGGGAGTGGGTTGGAGGAGGCTGGGGGTGGGCCGGGGGAGGACTTGTAAAAGTATGAGTTGGTGGAGGGTGAGTTGGGGGCATGTGAGGGGGAGGATGAGTGGGTGTTGGGTGATTTGGAGCATTGTGCTGGAAAGATGAGTGGGATGAGTGCTCTGGGGGGTCTTGGAGAGGAACTGTTATGAGATTGGTCCTTGCAGTGGTCATGACTGGGATGACAGAAATGTGGTGTGATGTTCCTTGGTGAGTGGAAGGTGACTGGTGAGGCTGTGAATGACCACTGCTAAACTGTCCAGATCCCTGACGTCCAAACTGAGAACCAGAATATGAGTCGCGGTGTTCGTAGCCTTCCTTTCCAACTCTGGGGTCTGACATTGATCGTGGATCTTGCCTGGCCTCCCCTCTTGGGTCCCCTCGTGGTTCCCGACATTCACCTCGAGGATCACGATGACTCAGACGTTCCTCTTTCATGTCTTCTTTAGGGACTCCCATAGCTCCAGACATTTTCATGTGCCGGTGATCAATATGAGCCTGCATGAGAAATATAGGGTCATGTGCATTAGTCTACATGTGGAGAGGAGAGACCTACAGTACAGGGTAGGTGAAGAATGACATAGGGAGAGGTTGTAAGAAATGTCATTAGAGATAAGAAATTAACTAGAGAAGCTGCAAGAGACTGCACATTATAGAGAACTGCCATCATGGCTAAACCAAGGAAGTATGGAAAATGGCTGTAAAACGGTGATGATGATGAGAGATATGGAGCAATCATTAAGTGTTTGGATAAAAGATCAATTGAATGCAACTGTGATTTTGATGATTAACATATATAGTATAGGAAAAATCAAACTCACTAATCATTGCTAAGTATCAACTTATTCATACATCATCTCAGTGAAAATAACCACAACACCTTACCTGTAGATCTCTCTGGGACAAGTAAGTGCGCTTGCAGACAGATTTATTGATTGTGTAATTACACATAAAGACTGTGCCCAGGCCCGTCTGCTCCACCCTGGCCACCCGCTCCCCACACCGAGCACACACTCGGTCCTCACTCCGGGCACACCACAGACAAAACACATGCTTGCACGGAATCTGTACACACATGAGCCAATTAGTATACAATATTTCTGAAGCAATTGCACATCTACAATATTAGGTATGATACCCTCCACAATGAAATAAAGGACAGTGAGGAACTATCTATTACTGTGACAATATTAGACACATCTTCCTGTAATTCCTAGATGAGAAGATAATGAAGATCCTGCAGGGTATATTATTAGACTCTTCATATCTTTAAAATACCCACAACAGCATAACACTACATTAACTGACGGCATTTTGGAAAGACTATTTTATTAATGTAGAAATATCAATACTAAAAAAATTACATTAATGATGCTAATAGATATGTTAACCTTACCATTCGTCCATAGATGAGAATTGGCTTGTTACAGGCATCACAAATATGTATCCGTGGAGAAAGCACTTTTTCTCCAATCAAGTTAACTGGATGATCCCAAGACAACCGCAGCATGGGAGCAGGTGGTCCCCGGTCCAGAGTTGTGAAGGTTGGAGCCTCCAGTGATGAGATGTCACAGTCTTGATCATCTACAGCAACAGGAGATAGCAAGAAATATTACCAATAAGATCTGGATGATTCTGTTCCACACCAAAATAAAATATTACATCTTCAGGTGGGTAAGATTAAACTTGCTCTAAGGCTCTGAAGAATAACAAGAACTGCTCCAAGTACTTCATGGAAATGTTACTATAAACCTTTGTATCTTTACTTGTGTATAAATGGACCAATTAACAGAAGATGGAGAGCCAATCTAAGTGTCCTCATCACAAGCAGTATACAGTACAATAACTTGGGCCCCTAACAAATAATGAAGAAATTTATGATACACATATAAAAAAGTGTTGGTCTAACTTACATTGTTTTGCCTTTGGTGGTTCATTCTCGTCTAGTGTGGGCTCTTCATCCTCATCCTCACTCTCTATCTGTCAATTAACAAAAAGATTGATTGATTGAGTGAAATATCTGGCATCGCAGCCTGTGGCCATTTGACGCCGAAAATGAAACTCATAATTTAATTAACAAATGAGAGAGTAGAAATAGTTTAAATGAGAGATGATCATTGCTAGGTTGAACTTTAGTTCACCAAATGACATGAAAAACCTCAACTGAACTTCTTTACACTGACATATTACTGTACTGAGAAATACATTTTATTTATTTTTTTATCATTAGATCAGAATTCTTGGCCCTTTTATGGGGAGGTATCAGAAATGGAAGGCTTCCCAAACATTTCACTTTTTATTTACAATAAATAACTATAGTGCAATTAATTTGTCTACAATAACAAGGAACACATAAAAGGTAAAAAATCTCCATCTTAACATAACCTTTTTTATTGGAATTAAAAAATATTAAATTATCTTTGACATACAGTATATTATTATTTAAAACTCACACATTAGGCAGATAATTACTTATGAGATGTGAAAACATGAGGAAGTGTATATTTACAAACATTTGGTGACTTAAGCAGTTGTCACATTAAAAATTTTTAAGGTCTATCAAATGAATCTAGAATTACCATATTTTCATTTATTCTACAATATCTTTCACAATAATTATTAAAGGGCTCAATGTAACAACTACTGCATCATTTGCTTATAATAACTATTTAAAAGTAATGGAGCTCACCACCATGTTTCTCTTTTTAACACGTAACGCTCGTGGTGGAGCCTTTGCTCGTCCTCTTGGCCGGCCCCTCCCTCGGCCGCGTCCCCGGCCTCGGCGTTCCTCATAATCCTTGGCTGAAAGAGGTAATCGTGTGATGACAAGGCCTATATAGAGAACAGATAACATTTGATATCCTGTACAGAGATAAAGCAAATGACAGATGGACATGGTCTTATTATCCAGATCATCAGAATGCAGTACAGGAACTAGCAAATACCGTAGTACTGTATCTCACCTTCTGGCAGTTTCGCTTTCCAATGAACCAGTGCACCTAAACTATTATCTTAAGAGATATTAACTGGTAAAGACTACAGGGGCTTAAGTGCTACTTTACCAAACATCAAAATCTGTCACACTCAAGCAGGAACTATAAGGATGATATCCTTACAGTGAAAACCTGGTTGAAAATAATGATTACCGTAAATAAATTTGAATTAAACAAATTAGATATCAAATCTTGGAAGTAGTTATATACTGTACATATAACAAGACATCTACAGTCATGATACAGTATATGTACAGCTGGTAATATGTATAACTAGCCCTCTAACTGGTGGTCGTATACACAGTACTGTAGATCATTCCTGTGTACCATCTCAATGCTCAATACTCACTACAATGTGTTTTTGTTGTTGTGACTGGTGGTGCAGCCACTTCAAGTGCTATTAATACATATCCCTAGACTGTTAAGTTTTCTTTATAAGATGTGAGACAATTTTGATAAAGTACAGAAATAATACAGTAACAGTGCAACAGTGAGGATGTTACCACAGACTGTCCCTGACATTGTATGTCATGATGAGCAAACCTAAGCTAACCAACCTAACGTAACCTAATCTTTTTTTGCAAGGATCAGTGTCATCTGCTAAGACCAATCAGAACAAATGTCGGACAAATAGCTGTAATATGTCATGGTCCACATCCAGACAATACACAATAAATTTCCAAAATTAACTTTAGTAGCGCCTCTCCTCGACATTTACCATTTCTTTATAGAGTAATGTCTAGTGTACCTTCACAGACTATTATCAAACAACAAATTAGTTTCTAGTCCACAAGTAATCAGCTTTTAAACACACTTTACCCAGTACCCCGAGTCACTAGCCGGGCCTTCAGTACACCTAGCTTTACCTCATTAAGCTCAGGAAACTTTGTTTATTCTTAACATTATAGCCACAATGACTTCACTAAAGTGTTATAAGTCTGGTGTGTGATAAATGTCTTACACTTTTCTTCCATCGGCATGACTTAATGTTTCTGGTCAACAACCAACGCTGATCGATGTGTCTAATACGGATGGTGAACTCAAGAAATGTGGGACATTATCTTCATATTTTAACCTTTTCATCCAAACTTTATTACTTATTTTAATTTTTTGTTAAATTTAATGTGATTTCTTATAAAATGATTTATATATGTAACCATTTTTAGTTAATTTTTACATATAATATGTTTTGTAACACGGATATAACAAACTTACAACTCAACAAACAACAAGAATTCATGCATCATTTATAAAATATTTTGTAATAATATTAACTAAATAAACCACTATAAACGTCACCAATTATTAGATATTTGAGTATAATATAATAACATATACTAATAATGTAAAACTAAATTAAAATTACTCAATCAATATTTATATTTTAATAATGTAATCAGCCTTGAAATATAACTTTTCTCGTCATTTCAATATATTAGACTCAATTATAATAAATATGTATATAAATTAAGTTTATTTGTGCCTTAATGTGGGAAAATAAGGTCAAGATGAAGAGTCACTCGAGTCAGGACACATTGTTCAAGGTCACAGACGTCATCACAGAGGGCTGGACCAGTGAGTATAACTTCCTCTTTTTCATAATTGTATGCATATTTACAGTGAGTTATACCTCTTTTATTCGTTTTATAGATATATGACGTCGTATTTCAATGGTTGTGATTGATAAAGTAGTATGACAAGCAACAGGAGGGTGAGATATAAGAGGAGAGGTAAAGATGTGGGTGTTTCACTGGAGGAAAGTCCTATCTAAGGCAGCAGCGGTGACTGAACCTTCTCTCACTATCACCACTACTGTCATGTGTTGATCCATTTTTTTATAACTGGAATGTGAATATCTGTTTATTTCCTGTGGCGGTTTGTTGTTGAATGGCTGGCTTGCTATGTGGGGTGACGGTCAAGCAGGCACTTTTATGTAATATCAAAAGCTTATTTTCCCTTATCCAGTATTATAACAGGTAATGTTTTAAATGATGGGATACACTTGTTAATTATATATATATATATATATATATATATATATATATATATATATATATATATATATACATATACAGTAAGTCATTTAGATTTTTATAAACTGGGTATAAGTAATAAATTTTTTAATTGGCACTTCACTCTGACCTAATTGTAAAACTTCAGAAATTTTAATATTAAATTAATTTATATCAGATACTTTTCTTGTGTATAAACTGTAGAGTATAGAAGTACAGTATTTTCTCCTTTGAATGAAACAAAAAATAGAAAACATTATTTAGAATGTCATTAACTTTATTTTGAGTTTGCAATACAGTATGATGTTGAGTGATGAAGCATATGGTGTTAGCTGGTATGGTTATTCCTTCTCACAGTTTTTCAGATATAATATTTCTCTTTCTTTGAATTATAACTAAATATACTTTGGAATACATATATATTCATTGGTTAGAAAGAAAAAATCAGATGACAGAAAAATTTAATGGGTTTAGGAAAATTAAAGAATTGTATTTTTTTCTTTAGTTATTGTTATTTTTTCTTGGAATTTATGACAGGTTATATGGTGGGAAAAAAGCGTATCTTTTGGTGACATATACTGTACACCCAAGTTGATATTACTGGAGACTGTTCTGTAGAATACAATTAATTTTACACTTACGAAATTTCTGTATTTTATTGAATTAACTCAGGAAAGGAAAGTAACTGATTTTATTTATTATTATTATTATTATTTATTATTATTATTATTAATATTATTATTATTAATGTTGTTATTATTATTACTTTATTATTATTATTATTATTATTATTATTATTATTATTATTGTTATTATTATTATTTTTGCTGAAAGAGATGATCCAAATGCAGGTCCATGTGTGAGCTCCTTAAGTGCCAACACAACTTAAGAATCTCTTATTAATGATAGTAACTATGATACATTGTGTAGATAATGTTATTTCCCTGTCAATAATACTTAGTAATAGTCTCACATTGTTTCAGTCTTAGTGAGTATAAACCTAAAGTAAAAGTGATTGTAGGAAGTCTTGTTTATTGTTTATTCTATAAGACTTATGTGTAGTACATGGCTGTATTTGACCTACACTAGCTAATACCTGCATATTCCAGCCAGATGTGGATAGATTTACACTCACTCATGAACACTGGCTCTTGTTGAGACTACTGTCACGCCCTTGAGAGTTTTCTGTCCTCCAAATTTCACTATCCATGCAAAGCTGACTTATTTCCAAACACATAGTACTCTCACTCCAGGAGTTACTTAATTGTCCAATCTTGGAGCACCTGTGAAATCGTCAAAGCAGTTCTTATCCACAATTGGTCAGACAGAGTCGTAGGCATGGTTATGCCCATGAGTCTCAATGTATGGTAACTTGTGGTCCATAAGGTATATTGTACTGTACTATATACTGGTAGTTTTTTTTACCATTGGAACACAATGATAGTCTTTCCCACCATATCTTTCCTTATGAATATTTTCTCTTGACACTGAAGACTGTTGGACAAAGATAGATTGGTGGCCATTAGGTTTGACCGGATGGCACAAACACTTGAGCACTTGGTCAGTGGGGGTCTGTGGAGAGAGTGTTGTGTGGGTGGCCTTTAGTGGTCCCTCGGTTAACGAACACAATTCGTTCCAGAAGGTCGTTCGTTAACCGAAAATTCGTTAACGAAACCGTAACCATTGGTTTAATTAATTGGTTCCAGCTCACGATTACATACAAACTAAAATAAATGCAGTAAAGTACACTTACTTTGGGTGTGTATTAGAAGGCTCCTGGTTGATGATGATGGGAATTAGAAGTGGGGGTGAGGAGAAGGGAAGAAGGCAGTGGGGTGGAGAGAAATCACTTCATGCTGCCATTTCACCCATAAAATTTTAGTTCACTAGGTGTAATTCAGGATTATCTTAAATCAACACTGCACTGCACTATATATTGTCAATAGTAAAATAAATTTCAGAATGACCAATAGTTGTAATGTAAAAATAGTTTATGTTCAAGAGAGTCTCAAGCAAGATACTTCCTCCACTGAGCAGGAAACTGGAACCATTCTGGGTGAGTCATGTGGCTGTTTGCTACGCTAAAACTAGTTCCTGTACTTCAGTTATGTTAAATAATTGTTAAAATGACAAAATTAATGTAAGACTTGGAAAATTATTGAATAGTACAACCTTCTTGATATTTACTCAAATGGTAATGAATTTAAGCCTAAAACTGATTACTGTATTGGCGGACTAATACTACAGCTGGTGAGCAGGAGAAAGCAGTAATGTTGACACAATTTCAGTAAAGATTTTGTTAATAATTTTTTAGAACCAAATTTAAGTTCTTATAGTAAATTAGATTACTTAAAATTTCGTTAACTTCAGGAGTTGATTAGCCAAGGGATCACTGTATATATATATATTTACCCTGTACTCTATATGGTGTGTATCTGATTATGTTGGCAGCCTTATTTTTACACCTTGGCCAACACTGGCACATGTTCGCACATTGAAGAACACGTACAAATTCAGTGCTTACCAAGAGTGTGTAACAAAGAACCATTGACTGCCCGACTGGCTAGCAAACTAATGAGAGATAAAGAGAAGAAAGTAAATTATGTAAAACCACGTTAAACTCAACTTCTTTGTGCATTTTGTGTAGATACCGGAAAACCTTTTCTTTTGCATAAATACTGCATTAATATAAGCTGATTATTAATTATTAAAATAATTTATTTATGAATTTGTTCTTTTTTCTTGGAAGTGTTATGAAATTATTGAAAAGGATGTTTTAACTAATAATAAGGTGTGTTAAGTTAGGCCTCAGTGTGATGTGTATAGATGAGCAGTGTTGTGAAAATGGTGTGAAGGATTTTAAGGAATGACAAAATTACTAAACTCATCATCATTATTATAATTTTACAGCCATTTTTTTGTTGGTATGCATTAAAAGCTGCATTCTACTAAGTTCAAAGTCGAAGTCCAATTTGATGGATTATTGGGTCACCATCTACAGTACAGGCAGTCTTATTCACACTAGAGTCTCACTCACTGTGTTATTACTGCATCTCATGTTTTTGTTTGGTATTGTTTTCATTTTCCTATTTTCTAAAATGAAAGGATAAAACTTTGGTATGTACAGTATCTTCAAGTTGCATATACAGGGGGGTATACAAGTAATAAACCTATTCATAAAACATGAATATCAACATTGATTGAGATTCTTTCTGTTGGTGTTCGGTACTGTAGTTGTTTTTGCATTTCAGAAGGGCCTCAGAAATAGCTGTTCTCTGTAGCTTTTCTGTTTTCAATTCTAAACATATTTTAATCTTCAGATAACTCAGTCTGCATTAGTTTTTATTTGTTTATTTTGCTTTATGTAAAGCTTTTGAGTCATGATTTATGATTAAGATAATTGTTCTAAGCTGGTGTACTGTACTGTACTGTACTGTACTGCTCTGCTCTGCTCTGCTCCTGACATTTTAGGTACTGTAGCTACTGGGTAATGCTGTACTGTATATGTAAAGTACCTGTACAGTACCCTTATTATAATTTTTTCTTAATCACTGGGAGGATCTAATTTGTGGTACAGTAAATTAAGTTATACTTATTTAAGCCAAACAGTTGATCTTCTTTTGTCTTTATGTTATTCAAATATTCTTGGGAGGTAATCAACTTCACCAGTCTTATCATTAACTCATTTTGCTCACAGCTGCTTCTACTTCTGCTTCTAAAATTAGCACTGGCGACTTGTTCTTTATACCATCTCCACGTCTCACTTCCTCTATCCCTATCACGGTACAGTTCGTCTACATTACTCTGTCAGTCTTTCTTTTTCCTGCTTCTGCCTCCAACAGGATCTTTGGGTCCTAACTTATTTGTGGTCTTGTCCCAATTATATCATCTTACCCGGATAATTTATTTAATAATTTTGTATCTTTCCCTGCAGTTTTGTCTCCTGTTATCATCTATCTCCTTGTAGTTCCTTTTTAGAAAGTCTTTAATTTGTGAAGCTCTTTGTACAACTCTCACCTTTTATCAACTTTCAACTTATGTATCTTTCCATTGTAGTCCTCTCACTTTTAAGCCAGGTTTCTCTTAGATACTGTAAGTGTTTTCCCTCTCTAATGTCGTTTTTCTACAAACATTATCCACTGCTGTTCTATTTCCTGTTCTTCAAGTCCTTCCAACAATACTGAAAATATTTTTTTTTAGTGAGTGGAAATTCTATATACAGTCTCTCCTCGACTTGACGGTTTTTGAAACTACCAGGTTGTGTCAAATCAAAATGTAAGTCTAAAAGGTGAAAATAATACATAGAAATTCTAAAATGGGTGTTCTTTTTTCTCAGCACCACGAGAACTCCCACTTTACGCTTGCCAGCCATTTTAAAAGGAATTACAAATGAAAGTTTTGTCAGTACACAGCGCGATCACTAACGCAGGATTCGGAAATAATGTGAATGTAGAAATATTTAGACCACCACGGCTCGATGTGGTGAGTCGAGGATACCCCTGGTGTATATCTATTATTGTATCTACTGTATCTGTCTTTTTATGATAGTGTCCTCTCCTAGTT